CATACCAGACACTTAGAGACAAAGTCGGGTATCTATCTTTTCATCCTGCTCCACCAAAACTGAGATCACATACTTTAATATATTTTAGTACTTTCAGGATGTATGGCGAACTTGGAGTTGTGAGCCTCTATTATGATATCCCTTTTTTAGTTCAATGTCGTCTGAAACACACATCTTGTCCTGAAACCTGAGCAATCCATCGGCAGATATTTGAAATTCTTGGTGTACTACCTTTCTGCATCTTTCTTGAGAGTGGCTATGGTGGAATCGATTAATTGGACTTCTTTATTCTTTGGATCAATTCGAGTTAGACAATCAGGTGGGCCAAGTATGTAACTCTCTTCAATTCCTAAAGTCGTATCTATTGTGCGGCCCTTGTTATCCTGCATTCAGAAATTATTAGGTGAACTAACATACCTGCACTTTTTCTGCTGAGTGCGTCAACTACTACGTTGTCCTTACCCGGATGATATAAGATGTTACAATCATAATCTTTGAGGAGCTCTATCCAACATCTCTGACGCATGTTCAGATTCTTTTGAATGAATATGTGTTTCAAGCTCTTATAGTCAGTAAAAATCTCAAAAGTCTCCTCATACAAGTAGTGGCATCTGGTCTTCAAGCCGTGGATAATGGCGATAAGTTTTAAGTCACGGGTAAGGTAATTTTTCTGATGACTCTTCAACTGCTTGGACCCATAAGTTATGACATTGCCATGCTGCATCAAAACACAACCCAACCCCAAGTAGAAGGCATGATTGTAAACTGTATATCTACATGTCTCACTCGATAAGGCCAACACGGGTGTAGTAGTCAACCACTTCTTGAGTATTGTAAAACTCCTTTTGTAGTTCTCGTTCTATTCAAATTTAACGTTCTTCTTTGTGAGTCAAGTCAAAGAAGTGGTTAGGCTGTAAAATCCTTCTACAAACATGCGGTAATAATCTGTCATTCTCAAAAACCTATGAATCTCCTTGATTAAGGTCAATTTCTCCCATCCAAGTAGTGTTTTAACTTTTTCGGGGTTCACTGATACTCCATCTCTTGATATGATGTATCATAGAAAGGTAGTCTGTTTGAGACAAAACCCACACTTGCTCAATTTTACATACAATTTTTTCTCCATGAGAACCTGCAAAATCTAAGTCAGGTGGTGAACGTATTCCTCTCTACTCTTTGAATAGATCAAGATATCATCGATAAACACAATGACGAACTGATTCAGGAATTATCTAAAAATTATGTTCATCAAGTCCATAAAAATGATTGGTGCATTGGTTAGTCCAAATGGTATTAACAGAAACTCATAATATCTGTACCTGGTTCTAAAAGTTGTCTTGGAAATGTTTTCTGCCTTGATCTTTACCTGATGGTAAACCGAACACAAATCTATTTTAGAGAAAATCTGGGCACCCTACAACTGGTCAAAAAGGTCATCAATTCTGGGGAGATGGTACTTATTCTTGATTATGACTTTGTTCAATCCATTGTAGTCAATACACAATCGTAATACTCCATCTCCTTTCTTTGCAAATGCGACTCCAGCACCCCAAGAAGATACATTATGTCGAATAAACTCACTGTCCTATAATTTATTAATCTGTTTTCTCAGTTCTTCTATCTCGATACGGCTCATGTAGTAAGGGGTCACCGAGATAGGCTGGGTGTCAAGCTGAAGATCCATGGTGAACTCAACTTTTCTGTCCACCGATAGTCCGGGTAGTTTGTCAGAAAATACATCTGAGAAGTCTTGAACTACCGGAATCTCTTGAATATAATTTTTTTTCTTAGGTTTGTCTAATGTAGGGAAGACGACCGAATTAAAATACTATGTAATGAGAAAATTACTATGAGAAAATAACATTTAAAATTTTCATTAACTTGTAAATGACTCTTCATTAAAAAGGTTGAATACAAGTTTTTTGTAGAAATAATCTACGGTGGTGTGGTACACCGCTAACCAGTTCATTTTTAGGATTTCATTAAAATTCTATGTGTCAATCTCTATCAGGTCCACACTCAATTCCTATCTACTATATATATTATACAAGCTTTATATATAACCTCCCCTAGTAGTGTTCGACTCCCAGGAATATACATAAATAATACAGAATCAAGTCTTTTCGGTGATACATTTAAGTTTTGTGTAAAAGTATGTCAGACAAATGAATGTAAAACACAAATATCAATTAAAACATATGCAAGGTGATCACAAATAGTGTAGTACCATGTATCATGTCCAGGTTAGCTTCAGCATCCTACTAAGTGAGGTTGTAAGCTCTGGTCTAGATAGGAGGTCTGATTTGGTTCTAATTTCGCTTGCACTTTCTAACGTAGTGTTGGGTACTCCCACATATGCGACAAATACTATTGAGATGATAGTAGGGTCGGTCCCCATGATCTTTGTCATAGTGCTGAGTAAGTCCTACTGTGTTCTATTACCGGAGCCTGAGTCACTGACTTAGGCCTCTTATTCTATTGAACCAGTGCAGTGGGTGCTAGTCTGCAGTATGAACTGGGGGTTTAGGATTCTCCACTACTTGAGGAAATATGCGAAGGTTCCTTTCCACTAGCTGTGTCTTGGCCAGAATGACTGAGTAGGTATTGAGCTCAAATACGTACATCTATTATCTAATCTCAGGGCGAAGGGCCCAATCGAACTTCCTTGTCTTTCTGCCTTCATCCATCATGCTCTTAGAGGAATATCGGTCCAACTCTAGGAACCTTCGGGCATACTCCAACACAATCATATCACCCTGGACCAGATGTGCAAACTCCATTTCCTTCAAATATCGAAGGTGCTCTAGGAGATACTCTGCATTGAATGCCATCAAGAACTGTTCTCAACTGACTGGAACGGGCAGGGTGGCCTGCTTGAACTGCCACCAGCGGCCTACCTCTCTCACAAGCATGTAGGTGACAAGTACAATCTTATGTTCGGGAACCACCGCAAGAGTCGCGAAGACCTTCTCTGTCTCAGCTAATTAATACTCGGTCTCTTCAAAAGAGGATGCCCCTACAAAGGTAAATAGGTTTAGTCTTTTGTACCTTTCAATGTAACATGAGTCCATCATGGGTTGAACTGAGTTCCGTAGAAAATGAATTGGATTGTACTGGGAAGGGACCGAATGACCCTGTAGTGGTGCCGAATGATATGGTAGAGGTAACGGTTGTACTATGGCAGTACCAGATGATGCCATAGAGGCACCAAATTATACTGTAGTGATGCTGGATGGTACGGTGGAGCAGTAGGGTTATACTGGGGTGGCTTCGGATCTTTTTGCTACAAGGGTGGGTCAAATTGTGGCAGTGGGGGAGGGTCAAGCAACTCCCTCCTTTCCTCCCGGGTCTACTGGGCAGAGATGAATTTCTCCAGCATCTTAAAGAATCGGTCAACATTTTCTCAAAGTGAGCTATCCCGGGTTGCTCGGTTTAGTGGGGGTCTTCCTCTTTTCATTTTCTTGTACCTACATTTCACAAAGAATGGTTGAGTGATAGTTTGTATTTTGTATTTTTAAGTTTTTGTGTAATGAATAGTTCTGAGGAACACGGCTCTGATACCAACTGTAAAAGCCTGGAACTTAAATAGAAATGAATTCGTCAAATTAAGTTTAAATTGATTTAAAAATATTTTTTATTTATTTTTTGATACTAAAATTTGATCCCAAGCTAAATTCTGGGTTCGGGTATTACACTGTATATGCCTTCAAAGATAAAAGTCGTAATGACTTTACGAAGTATGACACGAAAATATGAACATTTTATGATTTCTTTAATTTTTTCTATTATCTGGCATAATGTATGTTTATCTGATTATATTAACGTACTGTTTTCCTAATAAATAAATTATTTTCACAATATAAAATAGGTTTACGAAGTAGTCAAATAGTATGTATTTATGTTAGAAGAATTCACCTTTAAAACCTTACGATGTTATTTAAATATTATTTTATTTACTGAACATATAAAACTCACTCTTTCCATTACCCCTCCCCCCCCCCCCTCCCCCCCAGATGAGAAAGAAAATGAGAAACCGCAAGCTGACCCACCCATTAAAGTCTATGAGGATTCCGTGGATCCATAAAATTTGAGTGCATGATTATTCCCGCATTCTGATGAGTCCAATTGCATAGTGAAAGAAGTGACATTCTTTTGCAATTTGACATTATATTTTGTAATCACTTCTGCCCTCAGTTATATGTATAAAATTAGAATTTATATATATTTATAAGAGATTTTCTATTAATTTGTTCCGCTGCATAAATTTTATCATGCATTCGTTATTCTGATTCTGTATCTAACAGTCATTTGTCTTAATTAACATTTGAATGTCACAACATATACGAGATAAACAATTCGATCTGAATTCATATTCTCATAAAGAAAAATAAAAAGATAATAGGTGGCATTGGATGAATCCATACTTATTAGTAACATGACTAAAAATAAATGGGTGACAATAAGTATTGTTATTTTATCAATTCAATATTGATTTGTATTGTTGTAAATAATTTTATCAATTATTTCTAGAGAGAAAAAGCAATTTTGTCAATTCAAATTATTTCCAAGTGTTTCCACTTCTAGAGTGGATCTTGAAAGACATTTATATATAAATGGAAGTGATAAAGAGATGGTTATTTAACAAAAACAGCATAATGAAGCCAAGTGTTAGAGGATTAAAATTACAATGATTTCCTAAAAGAGTTTTCATGTCAAAAGATTAAATGATTATTTTTCAAGCACTTTGAGTCCACTAATGCTCTCTTTTCTTTTTAATTTGAAGTGAATCCATGACTTGTAAGTCACTAATGCACCTTACCCATAATTTCTTGTAACATAGTCTTTTCACCCACTAATAACTCCTTTGTTATGGGAAAGAAGTCAATTTAGAAGGCAATACATTATAAGATATTACCCAATTTTTCCATTTTAAAAAGATTGAGCACTACAACCATACATAATGACTCAAACATTATTTTAGAAAATAAAAAATAAAAAAAAATCAACCTATTAAAAGTAAAACAAAGTACATTATTTCTGACGCTTGCAAGTACTTTTTCCTTAGTTGTTGAACTAAAGGCATCACAATAAAAGAAATTCACTTTGCTTTATATTGTTTGTTAGTCAATTGTTCATTACCCACCATAAAAAAATAATGAACATGTAATTACATTAATCGAAACAAAAGTTAAAGGGGTACAATACCAATGTTTTAATCAGATATCTTCATTTTATCTAAAATTTTTGGATATATGTATATGAGTTATGCTCTTATTGTACGAGATCATATTTTATTTAAATGGTTAATTAAATTATTTATATTTTATTGAGATTATAGCAATAACTTTACTTAAAAATTAATTACTATTAAAATCAAATATTTTACATTAACCTAAATAATTATCCATTTAATTTTTATGCAAGTAAGCTATTTTTTTATTATTGATATTAAAAAATTACATCCTTTATATGACACTAGCATTTAAAATTTTATTTTAAAAAAAATATTATCTAACGATATTTTCTTATTAACTAAATTAATCATCTCATAAAAAATATTTAATTAAATTATTTTAATAAATATTATACTCAATTTTGCACACTAAACTTAATATCTATTATAAGAATACATTATTACATAAAAAGTGATTAAAGACTAATTATATTATTTTAAATAATGTTGGACTTAATCATATCACATTAAAATTAAATTTTTTTGAATTGATTAAACTTGTATTTCCTTAGACCAAATTATTTGATTTAGTATTATAATTTCGTATTAGGGACAAATTTTATGATCTCAACCAAAATTAAATTTATAGCTTTTGTAAATTAACATGAACCATCAAAAGTTAATTCTCTTTGAATCATTGGATCATAGAATACCTTTTAGGCTCTTACCGAAAAGCAATAAGTTTGGTGTTAAAAGACCAAAATACCCTCCGATTCTCTTCGTCTAAAAAAGTAAACAATAATGTTAGACTTTTCAACAATTAAGGAATCCTAATCCTCTGTTTTTGTTTATTTCCTCTCTGGCTTTCTCTCCGTATCTTCTTCCTCCTTTTTTTTCTTTTTTACCGTTGAAGATTTTTGCCGCCAACAATGACTACCGCCTATCATCAACCTCTCTAGGTCCTTTGTTACTGTGGACCCCAGAAGATGCAAATCCCAAACAACAAGAAAACGGGGCCGTTTTTCTTTTCTTCCGCAACCCCTTTTCTTCCTATCTCCATCATCTATCCGTTTATGGCCCCCCATATTTCCTTTGTATTATCAACTTTGAGACCACCCAAACCGATTGGGATTCCATATGGGTAGTTTTTTTTATTCCCATTGAATAATTTGTCATTTCCTCAAGAATTCTCTTCTGGGTACTCGGTTTGTTCCGCTCGTCTTCTTGTTTTCTGTGCTTTTTTTAATCTTCTTTTTGGGTTGCGTTTTTGCGAGTATTGTTTGGAAATCGGGTTGGAGATGTTCGGTTCGGGGATGAACTTAATCACAACCGTGATTGGGTTTGGTATGAGCGCTACTTTTATTGTGTTTGTTTGCACGAGAATCATCTGTGGAAGGATTCGAGGGGTGGAGTCAAGGCCGATGTTCGAGACTGACTCCAGGATTGATCTTGAGCAGGTGCTGTGATTTCTCCGCCTCACCTTCCTTCTTTATATTAACAAGAAACAGCTTCCTTTTGGCGGTACTATAAAATTTATGGGTATTTGGCAATACCTACACATATGCATATATTTATATATATATACATATATTTATATATACATACATACATATATATACTTGTCCTTGTAGTAGTTAATTCTCAGTTCTGCTCCTTAGACTTGTGGGTGAGAATCAGATTGTATATCTAAGGAATTTCTAGTTCCATATTAACAAATTTGACAATGAGTTTCTATTATCTAAATTGTGCTAATGACATTCTACAGTAATTTGGATAATTATATGTGCTCCTCAACTTCAAATAGTAGTAATCATAAATATGACAAACTAAATATATTTGTCAGCTTTATTTCAATATCTATATACATATATATAAATATATATATATATGTCGGCGTAAAACAAATAGGTATACATTCTTTGAGAATAGACTAGGACAATGAGAGGAGAAAAACTGTAGTTTCTTGTAATTTAAGAAATTGAAAGGTGCACCAGTTTTAAATGGGAGAGGGTTTTTTACAGTTCTTTATGTAGTGAATATTTTACCGTTAGTAGGTTAACTGGATCAAACCAAGTTGTTTTGTAGTTTTGTAGTGTTATTTTCCTTTAATTTTTGCACAAATCCCTTACACAGCGGAAAGGAAATTACCCCTTAAATTTGTTTTGTCTGATAGTTTTTACTTTTACAATTGAGCTTTGGTTTTGATTTTTACTAGTTTTACTTACCACCTACATCTACTGTCTTGACAATCTTAGAAGAGCTTACAAGATTGAACTTGTATATGTTTAACTATGTAGAAATTGAACCTTAATTTACAAGCCAGTCTTTGCGTGGATGTTTAGTTCATCATTCCCTCTGTAGGAGTTTGTGGATCTGACTGGGGTTATGCATTCCTGTGTATCTTTAGGATGAGGCTATTATGATGAGTGTGTATGTATCACTTAATTAAATGTATATATTATATATATTTCAATATGAGCTTTAATTTGGGGATTTTACAACTGTTGATTTACTGGCAGGCAGAGCAAAGAATCAGTGGTCTGGAGCCAGTTCTGGTTGCTGCAATTCCAACTATGAGGTTTAACCGTGAGGCATCCAGTTCTATAGAAGATGCACAGTAAGTACAGCCATTAAACCCATGCTTTAAGTCATTAGTGAACTGCAGTGATAACATATTATTAGCCTTGCCATTTCTTGTACCGTTTCATTACGGAGCAAAATGCTTTGGTTCTATTTGAGCTGATCGGTTTTCTAACAATGATTTTGCAATTATACTGTTCCAATTAAACCAGCATATGAACTCAAGACATAGAACTCTGATAGTTCATGAAATAACTCAGCATGATTAACTATTTCAAAGCTTGAACTGATACGAGATGTTGATATCAATTCTAATTTGTACTCACCTATACATTTTTAGCAATGAAATATATAATAATACAATAAAAACATAACCAGACTTCAAGCAAAACCAAATGAATGACTTGTATAACAATATAGATATTAGTCTTTTAAAATATTAGATAATATTGAACATGGGCGTTTCACTTGTTTTCTTGGTGCAGATGTTCAATATGTTTGGGTGAATATCAAGAGAAAGATGTGCTGCGAATCATGCCCAAATGCGGCCACAACTTTCACCTCTGTTGCATCGATACATGGTTACGAAAACACTCTACCTGTCCGGTCTGTAGATTCCCATTACAGGACTCGATCGAGATCACAAAACATGTTAGACAAGCAACATTCAACATGTCACAATCTATTGATGCTCCCAACAGTTCTCCAACTGAGCATTCTCGCCAGTGGCTGCTCCCAGGGCTTGAGCGTTCGTTAGGGAGTGCAGACAACCGAGGACATCTCAGTTCTGATGTCGAGAACTCCGGTAGTGTTGAGCTGGAAATAAGGCACTGATGAATGAAGAGACTAATTGGGTTGGTTGGTCTGCCGATGGGAAATTCTTATAAATGCTTCTGCTTGTCCCAAGCAACAATCTTCTTCATACAGGAGCAGAGTTTGGAGTTTTACAAAGGGGAGTGCACAATATGTTATTTGAAATTTTGTAAATTTGTATATATAAAGATCTTGAAAATCACTTGGAGCATTTGTTGGATATAGAGCTTATTTTAAATTGTTGTCACAGAATTACTGAGCTTAATTTCTAGATGCTCATCCATTTTATACCCTTTATAGAAAGAGCTGGAAATACTGAACCATCAAAACATTATTTATTGTTGATGTTTCGATGTCATTAAGCTAATTTAAAATTGCATAAGACTATCAGGATATAGCCGCATATTTATTAAAGATAATGTATCAAAAAAACTTTCATATTATTGGAAAAAAAAAAAATTGGTACAGTGAGAGAGAAAAACACAAGAAAATTGAAAAGAAAAATCGCTTAAATATTACACATTTTAGTTCAGAAGATTCCGATGAAATTCTCTTTAATGATATTCAATAATTTCATAGGAATGTGTTGTATGTGGTGTAGAATAGAAGACTAGTCAAAAGCTTAATTTGTCAAATAGTTCGCACACCAATTTCTTTCACCGTAGATATATTGTATTTTCACAGTTCAATTTTTCATGAACCAAATTTTGATAATCAAGACAAGATTAAAAAAATTTTAAATTAATTATTACAATATTTTTAAATTCAAATATAATTTAAATTTTTAATAAATGTCAGCCTAATAATAATATATTTATATGGATATTAAAATTTAGAAATGTTACTAATATGATAGCCATGTGGCTGCCGCATGCATTGACAACTTTTTTTCTTTTTTTAAAAAAAAAATTATTTTATTTTATCTATTTTTAAATAAATATAATATTATAAAATCAACTAGACAACATAAATCATAATATATATCTTCAATTATAGATTTACAATATTAATATTTTTATTTTTAAAAATTAGGCATATTTATATGTAAATACGTTGATTAAAAAGGTAAAAGAACTTAAAATATTTTTGTAATGGTATTATTGATTCAAATTAATTTGTTATTCCAAAATTGCAAGTCAACATATTGATACCGTCGAGGCATGGGTGTTTAAATTCGCTACCCAACATCAATTACCTGACAACCGCTTCCTATGTTGCAATGCAAATTTACAGTTCTTGAATTATAATAAATATGAGAGATATTTATTTAACTATACATAAATTTTTATATATTAAATTATTACAGACAGACAAAATTAAATGAGAATAAAATAAATTTGAGCTGAAAACTATAAGTTATTTGATAATTATTAAATTATATAACCAGTTAAGATTCTCTACAATCAACTAGTATATTTAAAAAAAAAAATTATTAAGTTAATTTTAATTTAAAAATATTTTTAAAAAATTAAAAAATACCACGTTATATATCTCACTCTTCTTTCTGTATATAAATAAATTGAATTTCTAAATAAAGTCTTGGTAATTAATTCATAAGATGGAGTAATTTATTTTAAATCTCATCGAAGTTTATGATATTTAATGTTTAAAATGCATCGTTTTAATTTTGTATTAATTTGAAATAATTAAAAAAATTATTTAATTATTCCCAAATATAGTGTAAACATATGGTGAAATTTAAAAAATTATTTATACCGAGTCTTTAGTGAATTTGGTGGGCACGTGCCAAGTGTCATTCCGTACGTGTCTTATCCACAAAAATCAGTTGCTAAAATCCAAACTTCACACTTCCAATCCCGAAGAATGAAGGGTTGGGGAATCTATGGCCGTGTACTTTGATGACTCAGGTCCTAATCCAAGGGCCCAAATTAACACTAATTTAATTTTTAATCATAATCAAACAAAATTAAGTGTAATTAATGCTCATTTTTAATACAAGGGCAATTCGGTCATTCAAATAAAAACAGCACAAAGGACATGACGGGCCCCGCCAATCATTCTCTCTCCAAAGCGCTACCGTCAAACGGTAGCCCCCCGCAAAGCCAACGTCGCTACGTAATTAAACTAATCATTCCCGCCGGATTTTAAAATTCGGATCCAACGTTCCAAATCCCTCATTCATTTACAAGCTGCCAAAACCTGACCGCCTTCGCGCTGTCGGCTTCTCTCTGTAATCTTCCTTCCTTAATCCTTAACCCACCCTTCTGCCTCGGCTTAATTAAGCCGTAATTAGAAGCTTTATACGATAACTTAATGAGTCTAAGCCAAAGATTGAGACAAGCCGAGGCAAGTTCCAAGCCGCCGTTTAATGTAATCATCAACTCAAAAAAATCCATTTAGCATTTTAAAAAAATCTAAATAGGAAACAAACAAACTAATCACTTTACAAGTGAATATTTCATTTTAATTATTGCATTGAATTATTATACTTTTATTATTAATTTACTAAGAATTTAAATTAATAATAAAAATCTAATACCATATGCCAATCAGCTAAATGGGGTTTTTTTTAGTTTTAAATCAATATATAGCCGATGTATATTATAATTTCTCCTGAATATTTTAGTCAGAATCACGTTACGTGTATATATACAGAATGCCAGATTAGTATTCTTTATGCCACATGCAATCAAATACCAACAATTCTCTCCAACTACAAACACACCTACATGCATACATTATAAACAAATATATATACCTCTCAAACTCTGTATACGGATACATTTAGTTTTTGTTTGTAATATAACTATGGCACGACTCGATCAAACAAAGGAAGCCACTGCAGCTAACACCACCACTACTACCACTACGACGTCGTCTGATAAACGTGCAAAGAAGCCAATAATGACCGGGGCAGCAGCTCGGAGATTCGTCGGAGTCAGGCAAAGGCCATCTGGGAGATGGGTGGCAGAGATCAAGGACTCCACTCAACGAGTCCGGCTCTGGCTTGGCACATACGACACACCAGAAGAAGCAGCCAGGGCTTACGACGAAGCTGCTCGAGCCTTGCGAGGGGAAAATGCTCGCACCAACTTTGCACCTGTCAACCAGTCTACCTCATCAACATCCAACGGCAGCTTGGTGATGTCGTCCGGATCCGACTGTCGACACGGGCTTAGCTTCTCTTCGTTGAGAGCTAGACTGAGTAAGAACCTGCAGAACATCATGGCGAGGAGTACAGAAAGCAAGACGACGAAGAGTCGAGTCAGTGACCACTTTACTTTCGCGAGTATTTTCCATTTCAGAGGGTACCAGAACCAGAGCCCTCGGCCAGTTGATGTAAAGGGGATGGAAAAGGTTGTGCAGCCGAGCATCATCGTGCCGCATGCTGGTGGAGAGCCGCAGGAGTTGTGTTCTTGGGACAGTTCGGATAGTAGCAACGAATGCATCGGGTTAAGGCAACATGGGTTTGATTCAGAGGGATCGGATATAGGGGAATTGAATACTCTGGTGGGTGACCATCATCATCACCATAATCATTTTCATCATCATGAATGTATGATGGGTTGGATGGTTGGGGCAGAGATAATGAGTGAGAAGTATGTGGAAGGTTCGAGGAGTAAGAGATTTAAGGTTTCATCTTCTGTTGTAGTGCCTCCGACCTTCAGTGCCTCTCCGTTTTAGTTGAGACAGAACATGGACATGCATGGAGCTTTTGATTTGCTTTCCTGTTTTGTTTTCATGGCGAAGGGGGTTGGAAAGTACTGATTGAGGTCCAGAAAATTTAGAGCTGAGAAAATTGCAGAGGTACGAATGGGAATGTTTCTTGTTTGGATGGTGGGAAAGAAGATTGTAATTTAGTTCTTGAATGAAACTAAGGACAGATCTAGAAAGAGAAAGAATGTTATAATACTGAAAATGGCAACTTGCATGAAACCAAAGCACACGTGATAGTATTGTGTCTCATGGAAAATATTGTCAAGCTTAATTGCAACGCATATAATCACTTGTTATAAATATTATTATAAACTATTATTATTATTTTTTTTCATTTGATGGCAGATATCTCTATTTCTTTTCAGTAGTGATGTTGGATGGAATTGTGAGCTATGTATATTTTATATTTGAAAGAAAATTGTTTTACGTATAATTATTTTTTTAAAAAAATTATATTATGATTAATGTATAAATGAGAAATAAATAAGGAAAAACATGAATTTATTCTTTGAAAAATTTTATGTATAAGTAAACAACAATTACATACAACTTCCAATTAACCAAAACGCTTATAAAAAAATCATAATTACAAAGACCATGAATATACACACACACACAGAGTCAACCACGAGTACACTTATATGTATGTATGAAAACAAATTTGGATTTATGGTAATTGAGTGGTAGAATAGCTTTCACGTCATTATGTGAGTTATGACGTTGTAATATTTTAAAATCTAAGTTTAAGTTATCCTAATCTTTTACCTCAAACATGAGTGAAAAAATTGGTAAATATTAAAAATAAAACAGTAAATATATAAGCAAAAAAAGTTACTTTTACCTGAAAGTAACCTAGACAATAACATGTGCTAAAATTGTTATTGTTAAATCTATCAAATTACTAATCATTATTTTCTTAAGTAATTGTACATATATTTTTTTAATATTTGGATCGAGTGATGCTCATTTGAATGTATATATCAGTAGATGTATAACTTTAATTTTTTTTTAAAAAAAACAAAATTATCTTATAACTGCTATTCAAATATTGTCCCTGTAATCATTAAGGAATGAATGGTCTTACTTCGGCAAAAGGTTTAAAACTTTTTGATGGGCTTGGGTCAGTCAATTGACCCGAATTACACAATGTCTCAGGATTTCGACCCAATTGATTATTCACGTACACGTGTCATCACATTATTTAATGGTGTATAAATAAATTTGAAATAATAACTTTTACCTGATCTGACCCACTAATGGTCGAGTGGAGCCCACCTTGTCTACAAAAATGTTGGGGCCCCAATTCTTTCTCACCACATGAACGGTGTCCGAGTCAAACCACATGTTTTTTTTATTTTTAAACGGTTACCCTTTTTTTTTTTTTTATCATTATCCTAAAGAGATTATATTGGAATTGGAATTGGAATTGTCAAATTTTAATTTAAATTAAATACATAATTTTGAATTGAAATGATTTACTTTGTAAATTATGCTTTATATTGCCATTAATTGCAAAAATACATAATCTAAATTCAATATTTATATAATTTATTAGGAATAGATTGTTCTTTTGATTTAACGTTTGTTATATTTATATTAATGATATTATTTTTTTATTATGTAGAATTAAAATTTGAAATATGTTAATAACCACAATATCTTTTGAATGTTTATAAAAACAATTTATCGACGAAAAATATATATACTTTTTCTTTAAAAAAAAAAAAAAAAAGAACCACATGTTTTCTTAATGAAAATTCAATTCAATAATTTTATTATTGAATTAGTTGATAGGATGTCTGGAACAAAATAATTAACCCAAATAGTATAAAGTAATAGTTGATTACATTATCATTAATTATCTTCTACTTTATTTTTTAATTAATTCATTGCAATTCGAGCAATCCTGTACATACATTACTACTTTTTTATTATTTAGATATATTAATACTTTTACTTATTTATATTTTAAATTATTTTGTACAATTATTAAATTAAAATTTCAAAATTTTGAATTCCAATCACAAATTACAACTCAATTATTCTGGATTTAACACTGTCAAATCCTCATTAAATTTCAATTATGATTTCATACTTTATAACTCCCTTAAGTCAACCTCGTTTTAGTCAACTCGATCAATCTAATAAACTTCCCCAATTTTACGGTCTAGATTCCATCCCCGCATGCCCCAGTTTTGACTTGCGTAAACTATGCAATCAAAATCTCCATAAATAATTCTTTTAAAAATTAAATATTTATATATTATTTTCCTTCTTGTCAAAGCATAAATGTAGCAGCCGACAGACAAGCGCGTGACGTTTGGAGCCAAAAAGAACTCCCCCCCACCACGCGTCTTGGTAAAGGGTGCTCTCGTTTTTATGCTGATTAAATTAATTAATTAATTAATTAACAATTAACGGGTGCTCTGGTTTTTATGCTGTTTGAATTAATTAACGATTTTTAATATATACTTTATTAATAGTACTGTATTTTAATTTTATTTTTGTTGAAAAATCAATATTAAATAAGTAATTAAAGTGAATAATATTAATTAATGTATGAAATTATATGAAATGAGTTTTGAATTTGTAGCCCCCACCACAAGAGCATAATTGAGTGCAACGTTTAGAAGATGAAATGTACCTGACTTTTTTGATTGGTACAAATCGATAATTATGCTTTGGAGGTTTGTTATTATTACTAATATTTATTTTTTGTAATTGTGACTGAATATTAAACACATGAAAGAAAACTGATGGGAAAAAGTACGTGGAGATTTTTCAAGACTCACTTTAATCATTTCGATAAACACGTGTACTTATGTTTTTAGTATTTTTTTTAAATTAATTTTTAGGAGACATATTATAATATATAATAATCAAATTTCAATTATTAAGAAGTAAGCTTGTGATTAATTATTAAATTAAGTATTATGGTTCTGAATAACGAATGACAAATGATGATGATATGTAATTCAAAATTTGAATCTCGAGCCGTTAATTTAATGGGTTGCCTCAAAACTGACAAGTGCATTCTTTCATATATATTTCAATTATGGCAGCATTCTCAATATTATTTTATTTTTAAATAATAAATAAATTAATTTCAATATACTTATTTAAAATTTTAAATTAGAAACATTTAATATTAATTCATTTTTATGAGTCCCTTGTTGACACGTGCGACAGACTGTAACAACCGAATCGTACGGGTACGCCGGTTTCGGCTTCATGCGTGGCAAGGTGCCACGTTGGTATCTTGAAAACGTAAAAATCCGAAAAAGCACATTCAAATTTCATCCAATCCTAACGGTCGAAAGGTCTGTACGGACTGTAATCACAGCCGTAGGATCCTCAATCATGCTCGACGTTTAAGCACCTCTGTCTGAAACGAAACATAGAAGAAGCCACCTTTCTCTTTCTACATCCCCCTCTCTCTCCTAAGACCCCACTACACTGTAAAATAATGTTTCTACTGAGAAAGAATCCAAGCGACAAGAGAAGAGAGACCTGACACATCGCTTCCTACGCGAGAGAGAGAGAGAGAGAGAGAGAGGTTGAAGAAGGTTTGATTTTTGAATTTGTTTCACATCGTGATTGTTTCTGTTAAGAGCTATGTACATACACAGTTTTTTATCTGTCTTGTTCACTCCATGTTTTGAAAAATTTGAGCTGTTTTTTTCTTTTGGGAAACTGGGTCTGATACTTCTTCAGAGTTGAAGATTCTTTTGTTTGTTTTTAGGAATTTTCGACCGTTTAACCTTTCGTTTGGGTTGTAGGAAGCAAGAACAGCTTCTGGGTATTTCTGATTATAAAAAAATTGCTTCTGGTTTGCTTATTTCTCAGAGCAAGAAGCCTGAAGAAGCTGTAACCGATATCTGCTTTTGGACGGATAAGGATTTGGTTTACACAGAGAGACTAAGAAGGAGATTTGAAGGCAAAGTTATTGTTGTCTGGCGATCCTTAGAAGCATTTCTGATTCTGGGTTGCAATTGAAAGGGAGAGAGTTTTGAAGATTAAGCTAGAGCCGGTTGCTTTCTGGGGCAAAAGAGACAAGTTTCAAGTTTGGGAAACTTAAAGGTTTGTCTTTGAAGTGATGTCTATGGCTTGCTTTCTTTTTAGCCCTAACCAAAAAGGGCAAAAAATTTCTCCTTTATTTAAAAAAAAAAAAATCGAAACTTTTATCTTTTCTTCTTCATTTCTAATTGGGTTTCTTTTAGTTCTTTCATACGGGCATCATTGAATTGATGTAGATTAATGCTCTGCTCATGGAGGTTTCCTTTGCTGTCTATACAGAAATTTTGCAGAGACATTTAAACAGTTTCTTGGTTGTCATTTACTGCAGAAGTACGTTGAGCCAAGCAAAATCAATGAAATTTTTTAGGTATATTTTTGGAAGTTATTGGTTTGAAGTTTATTATACTGTTGCATCGAGTACTGGTTGATTTCATTAAAGAGTTTAAATATATATGAGCAAAATCAATGCTCATATATACATATATATGTTTGTGTGGCCAAGTTGTTGATAGCGACCCCCATCTTCTCTTCAAAGGAAAGTCTCTCACTTTCTTTCTCTCTCGAACCAGCTAGCTCTATTTATGGGGATATAATCGGCATTTACAGCTAAGATTCCACCTTACTTGGCTACTTCCCTCCTCAAATCTTGACCGTTGGATGTAGATCAAGATCAAGTTACCAGAACCTCATCTCACAATTCTTGATAGTTGAAAAGTAAAGTTCCCTGATTTTTGTTCTTTTCTTGTTTTCCTCTCCAATATACAGTGTTACTACTTTTCTTTCACATGAACTGAAAAAGGGTTATTTTGGTAATTCAAGTTAATTTCACCTTCTTAGCCGTCGGTAACTCATTTCATTTTCATCAACGTTGTTTCAAAGTTTTGTGTCGTCATGATTGCTTCTTTCTATTTTTTCTTTAAAAAATATGTTCCATGGTAGCATTTAATGATAGCTTGAGAAAGCAAAAGGAAATGACTCGTGGGAACATCATAAGGCAGTTCAATTTTGTTGGTAGGATCTTGTTTTCAGTAAACAAGCTTCTTGTGATCCTAAAAGATTCTCGAAACGACTGATGTTGACCTATTTGTTTCTTTGTTTTTGTTATTGTTTATGATTGTAACTGCTCCGCTGCTTTGATAGTTTTATATGCCGACTTCTTTTCCTTTCACAGTTGTTCTAATTTTGGGTATCTCATAAGGTTTCTTCTCCAAAATACAGCTGATACAACGGAAGTATCGGTTTGATCCTTACCTGAGATCATGGTGGAAGATACTGGAAAGAAAGTTCTGATTGATAATAACCAGTCGGCAGATGATTGGCTGTTGCAAACACAAGAGCTTGTCCCGGTTGCGTTGGAGAAGGCTAGGGAGGTTAAGGGTTTTCCAGGTAGGTGGAAGATGATCATATTGAAATTGGAGCAGATCCCTTCACGTTTGTCGGACTTGTCTAGCCATCCTTGCTTTTCCAAAAATGCACTTTGCAAGGAGCAATTGCAGGCAGTGTCAAAGACGCTGAATGAAGCAATTGAATTGGCAGATTTATGTGTGAAGGAGAAGTATGAAGGGAAGCTTAGAATGCAGAGTGATCTTGATGCTTTATCTGGGAAATTGGATTTGAACTTGCGAGATTGTGGGCTTTTGATTAAGACTGGAGTGCTTGGTGAGGTTACTTTGCCTAAATCTATTCCTGGTTCCTCAATCGAACCGGAGGTTACAATGCATAGCAATCTCAGGGAATTGCTTGCCCGTCTTCAGATCGGGCATTTGGAGGCGAAGCATAGAGCCCTTGACAGTCTTGTTGAATTCATGAAAGAGGATGAGAAGAATGTTTTGGCTGTTTTGGGAAGGAGCAATGTTGCTGCTTTAGTTCAGTTGTTAACGGCAACATCCCCTCGTATCCGGGAAAAGACTGTGACTGTAATCTGCTCTCTTGCAGAGTCTGGAAGTTGTGAGCATTGGCTTGTTTCCGAAGGTGTTTTACCTCCATTAATAAGGCTTGTTGAGTCTGGTAGCATGGTGGGTAAAGAGAAAGCTACAATTTCACTTCAGAGATTATCAATGTCATCTGAAACAGCCAGGGCAATTGTCGGTCATGGTGGTGTTCGGCCATTGATTGAGATCTGCAGAACAGGTGACTCTGTTTCACAGGCTGCTGCTGCAAGTACTTTGATGAACATATCTTCTGTCCCCGAGGTTCGACAAACTCTGGCTGAAGAGGGTATTGTAAAGGTTATGGTCAACCTACTTGACTGTGGAATTTTGTTGGGATCTAAAGAATATGCAGCAGAATGCTTGCAGAATCTTACTGCCACTAATGAAAACTTACGGAGGTCTGTCATTTCGGAAGGTGGGATACGAAGCCTATTGGCATACCTCGATGGTCCTTTACCCCAAGAATCTGCAGTTGGGGCATTGAGAAATTTGGTCAGTTCAGCTTCTATGGAAGATTTAATTTCTCTTGGATTCCTTCCTAGGTTGGTTCATGTTCTGAAATCCGGATCACTTGGTGCTCAACAAGCTGCTGCGTCATCCATCTGCCGGGTTTGCAGCTCAACTGAAATGAAAAAACTTGTGGGTGAAGCCGGATGCATTCCTCTTCTCATCAAACTGCTGGAGGCTAAACCAAACAGTGTAAGAGAAGTGGCCAGCCAAGCGCTTGTAAGTTTATTGACACTTTCTCAGAATTGCAGAGAAGTTAAAAGGAATGACAAAACCGTACCAAATCTTGTCCAGTTGCTTGACCCAAGTCCACAAAATACTGCAAAGAAATATGCAGTTTCCTGCCTTGCGTATATCTCTTCCAGCAAGAAATGTAAGAAACTGATGATTTCATACGGAGCAATCGGATACCTCAAGAAGCTCACAGAAATGGACATCCCTGGTGCTAAAAAACTGCTCGAGCGACTGGAAAGAGGAAAATTAAGAAGTTTGTTCAGCCGGAAATAGAGTAGTAACTTAAGGCTTTTTGTATAATAATTTCCCTTCGACTAATCCCTCCAAAAACTCATCCGGGCATGATAACTGTTTCATTGTCTGTGTGAAACATTAGTGTACTAGTAAGTAAGTGATGGGAAATCAATGTTTATTTATAAGTTAATTTTCTCTTATATATCTCCACATCTTTTCTTCATTTAAAGTTTTTTCCACTTTGTTTTGCAAATGCAGGTTTCTTGGTTCTCTAACTCTTCTTATATCACATTTTTTTGTCCTTCTCAGCAACCAAACAAAAAAGAAGTATTTTGTATATATATATATATATTTATATATATATATCTGTTGTGCTGTCAAAGAACTAGTGACATCATTGCTGATATTTTTGGTTATGATTTTAAGGGGTAGGTTTTTGAATGGAAACAAAATTAAGTATCAAATCAGAGAGCTCCAATATGCGCATATCTATTAACAAACCTTATTGGACAGCGACAACCACTGAACCATTTTAACCAAACACACTCACCAACCAAAACCCACCATCCTTCCTTCCTGCTCCGATCTCTCACATAATGTCATGTGACATGAGTTACATGATTATTGTATTTTAAAAATATATATAAAATCTATTTTATTTACAGTTTAAAATGGTTTTAAGAAAATATGAATTTAATATCTCTAATTAGGACTCTTAATTACTTTATAGTATTTAGAAATTAATTACTTCATAAAACACAACATTTTTAAAATCTTCTAATTCTATGATTGTTTTTCTCACTCTCTATTGTTAATTAATTTGTGTGATTTTATAAATAACATGCATCTATATATAAAATAAAAATGTAAAAATATTTTCATATAAAAGACAATATCACAAATGAATTAATATTTTGCCTAATTGTAATTAAGTATATAATTTAAATTTTATACGAATTAATGTGGTCTTTAAGAAGTCAATTTTAATTCACTAAATTTTAATTTTAATTTTAATTTGAGCATATAAGTTTAGTTTTATATGAATTAATTAATATGGTCTTTTCAATTGGTTCATTCAAATATTAAGTTTTAATTGAGCATATTAATTAATTTAGCAATCAATGATCAAATTGTCATCAAGATAATATGATCATTACATGTTTAATTATTTATTTTAACACATAAATTAACTGAAAAAATTAGTTAAAAATTTACTCATAGCAATTAAAATATTTGAAAAGAGTAAAAATTGACGTTGGGTATTTTTTATAAGACTGGGCTCGGGCAACTTGTGATGGGCTGCCGGAGTAATATCCAACGCCGCCCATTTCTTGGAATGCGTGATAAGAGCCTGCACACCCCATCATTCAAAAAGTCATAAGGCGCAACAGAATCAGAGTGTTACGTTCAGGTACTTTCACTCTCACCGTAATAGATCCTTGGTAGATCACCACCGCTTGATTATACTACCCGTCAACTAAATCAACGGCGAAGATTATCCAATAGTCAATTTCGGGTTATTTTGAAGAGAAATTTCGGGGCTTTTCATCTCCGTTTTGTTTGTTTGTTTGGGAAGGAGATGACCAAACAAGCCCTTATCAAGAGTCTATCTCTCATTTTGTAGCAGAAAAGGAAAAAGACGCAACGTAGCTGACGCTTGACACAGCCAGCCAGGCTCCTCAATCTCTCAATCCCCCTCCTTTTCTTTTCCTTAAATTCCCAATTAGGTTTCTTTCAAATTTTTGCCTTTTCGGAGAGAGAAAGTTGGGAGATCGTGAATTTCAAGACCAAATTTCTGGGCACTCTTTTCGGTACTCTCTGTCTCTTTCTTTCAAAATCTCTCTCCATACTTATTGAATTGAAACATACTTCGTTTTTTGATTGGTAATACTACTTGAATGGAGCGTAGAACAGGTTCTCTGTGTTGTTGAAAGAAAATCATTTCTTCTTCTTGTTGATTTGCTTTTAGTCTATATATCTTGTTTGTTTCCAGGAATTTATAGGTAGAGTTTGATTTCACTTTGCTGTGTACTCCATTTTGGGTTTTTAAGATTTGATAGTTGTTCTTATACTGATTGCTTTTCGCGGTGGTATGTTTGGTTTCTGGGAGAACTTCTAAATTTTTAGCTGTTTTGCAAGAATTGGAGGAGTTTGTTTCAGGTGGATAGAAATCTTAAACCTGATGATAGCTACTCTATGTATCTCCTGAAAGAACCTAATAATTTGGTTGTGAGAATTATTTGTTAGTATCACCTTCAAACGAGAATCCGTAGGTTTTCTTAGATTGGATTAAAGGGTTTATGATGTATATGTAGTATAAATGGTCACTTTACTACTACTGACGACTGGTTTTTCTAATACTGTTTAATGGTCTATGACTATGTTTTGGGGTATTTGGCAATCTGTGGATTAATTTTTATCTTTCTTGGATGCTCATGTTAGTACCATTACAACTCATGATGGATGTTTCTGTTAATATTGGTTTATGGTATTTAACTTTGTTTTTTGGTAGTTTGTCAGGCCAGTTGTAGACTTTGAACTTCGCCACAAATTCTAGTTGTTTTTCAAACATACCATGAAATCAGTTTCGTAACTTTTTCAATTCAATAACAGTTAGTTCTGTCAAATTTGTATGGTACTATCACAAAGTAGAAGCTTATAATCTTTTGCCATCATTGTTGTTGGTCATCGGATGTGTGTTTCTTCTTCTCTTGATGACTCCTTTTGACCTTTTTCTCCTCCATGTCTTGGAATTATAATAAGATCTTGACTTATCAGGTCTCAGAAAAGAATGAGTTCATTAGATGCAACTAGAGCAGAACTTGCTCTTGTTGTTTTATATTTGAATAAGGCTGAAGCCAGGGACAAGATATGCAGGGCTATACAATATGGTTCAAAATTCTTAAGTAATGGAGAGGCTGGTACAGCACAGAATGTTGACAAGTCAACTAGCCTGGCTAGGAAGGTGTTCCGACTTTTTAAGGTCAGTTGGAGTATATTATGCGACATAAGTTTTCCTGATATGACTCTTTCACCTAGCGCATGTTCTACCCTCTTAACCACAGGACTGAGTAGCATCTGTATTTGTGCACTGTTTGATTAATTGATTACTGAAAGTAAGATACAAAATATAGAACGGCCGGAAATGCTAGCCTTTGCAACATTTCTTATAAACTAAAACACTTAATCTGTGAAAGGAAACTGATCCTTTTTTGAGCTTTTTTGGTTCTGTTTTCTTATTATCATGCTTATGTGACTCCTGTTATCAAATTTGCAGTTTGTCAATGATTTACATGCTCTTATTAGCCCAGTTCCTAAAGGCACTCCCCTTCCTCTTGTGTTGCTTGGAAAGGTATAAACTGGATAGAAGAAATGTTATTTTGTCTGAGATTCTATTGGGGAGAAATATTAATATTCTTTTTTCTTGGTAACTACTTAATTTCAGTCCAAGAATGCACTTTTGTCAACTTTCTTATTCCTCGATCAAATTGTCTGGCTTGGCAGAACAGGTATCTATAAGGTGAGGGTAAATATTTATTTTAGTGTTTTATTTCCTATATTCTTCAGCCTTCATGGGATATTTTGAGAAATATTAGCAGGAATTGAAATTGTTATTTCTTGTAGAATAAAGAACGGGCAGAACTAATTGGGAGAATGTCACTTTTCTGCTGGATGGGTTCTTCAATCTGTACTACCTTGGTTGAGGTTTGTTGCACTCCTTTGTTCTAGCAGTTGGCTACTTGGTTGCTGTCTAGATTCTTTTCACTACAAAATCCTTCTGGTTGCCGATAGGTATGATATGTTCTGTTAATTTTTCTAATCAGATTGGAGAGCTTGGAAGGCTTTCTTCATCAATTAAGAAATTAGAAAAGGATCTTAAAAATAGTGACAAGAGTCAGGTACCTTTTCTGTTTATTTTCTTAATGCATTTACAATTACATTGTTTATTTATGTGTTTTTAATTTTTTCCCATGTTGCCATCTTTTTAATGGGTATCTACGCCTGTAGAATGAGCAATACCGTGCTAAACTTCAAAAGTCAAATGAAAGGTCTTTAGCCTTGATTAAGGCGGGTATGGACATAGTGGTAGCAGTTGGCCTGCTTCAATTGGCTCCTAAGAAGGTTACTCCCCGAGTTACAGGGGCATTTGGATTCGTCAGTTCTCTGATCTCATGTTATCAGGTATCTAGTTCCATCTTCTATGCTTATTGACTTTCCATTCCTTTGGGACAAATAGGAGTTACAGAAGAAATACATGTTATCATTAGCATGCAAAATTTGTGAGAATCTTTAGAATGCTTGTGATTTTGGTTGGATTTGGATATTCTTGTTCAGAATATCTGTGGCTGATCCGTTGATTGGTTTCCTTCTTTTTCTTGGACGGATCCATTAGCCATTCAAACTTTTGCTTATGAAGTCTCTGATATCTGTGATGCAGTTGCTTCCAGCACCAGCAAAGTCGAAGGCATCATGAGGAGAGAAGCCCTTTTTGCTCAACAAGCTTCCTTGTCATTTAAATAATGAGTTTGAAGCTTTTTAACTTAAAATCCATGTTGGTGTAAGCTTCTGAGCAACTTACTATCTCGTTTTGGGTAACCTTGAAGTCTCTCCCTCCTACATAGGGCTTTATTGTCATAGTTGATTCTGAACATTTCAAACAGTAATAATATGTCATTATTTGTTATTGTTATCACTATTAGTATTATTTAAAAATGATTAGTCAGCTCTCTAATATACACATACATTGAACAAAGTGATCATCCAGTTACTTATATGGAGTAATTGAGACTAGAATATAGTGGGTTGTTTATGATTTATCACCAGCTATAGTCACTGAGAAAATCTATACATTGACGATTGAATTGAAATTCGTTAAATTCGGTTGAAAAGTAAGCTTAAAACAAGGAAAATGAAATCTTGAATGCATTGGATTTATATTCACCTACACGACAAGGCTTTCCGGCTAAGAACTTGGTTGAGTGTTTGACTGTGTGACTTGCGTTATCCAAAGTGCTTTGCTCTGGTTTCATTTTTTCTCAAAGTTCTAATTTAAAAAATATGTAATATATGTTTTTGAATTTGATCTAATATGATATATTTATATATAATTGATCTGTAGCGAAAAGCTTGCTTGTACTGAGAGAAAGGAGAGATTGGAAGCACGAATTACATACCCCACTTGTTAGGGATGAAGCCTAGAGTTGTATGATAACCAGAATGTTAGCAAGAATACATAATTAACATATTGAAGTTTCTTTATAATTTCCTTTGGTTGAAAAGAAAAAAGAAATGGATTATTTGCTTGTATTGAGTTATTGTTGTTAAGAATATTTTACCTGATATGTATATACATGTGTTAAAATATATTTTAATTAAAATTAAATTTTAAATAAAAATATCTTAATTAATAATTATTTAAAAGAAAACCCAAATATTTTATAAATTCATCTTTATAAAATTTTTAAAGATATGTTAAATTAAAATAATTTTAAAATTTAAAAAGTAATTTTGTTCCAACAGTATATTCTAAATAATCAGCCTCCAGATGAGTAAAGAATGAATACATAATTAATAAAAAATAACCATAGAAAATTTAAGAGATGAATTTGGAAGTATTGCTAAAACTATTTTATTCCAATAGCATGTCAAAGTTATACAATCACTGCAAGAAAACAGCAAAACCAAGCGCAAAGATTTTCAACACTCTTGTTTAGAGTGGACAAGCCATAGCTCGAGGGCCCTTATGGCAGTTCATTGCGTTCCAAGCCCTGGGAGAACAGAACATGAGCAAAGCAGGACATGATTCCCCTGCAAGACAGATAATATCACAATAACTCTTCATCCATGTCTTTATCTAGCTCATACTCATCACAAAAGCTCTTCATCCATGTTTTCATCCAATTCATAATCATCTTCTTCTTCATCCTCGTCCTCATCTTCATCCCATCCATATGCTGCAACATCCAGATCCATCACATTTCCGCACAGCAAATTCACAAAATGCCCCAAAGTCTCTAACATGCCTTTGCCAATACATTCTAGACATTTCATTTGGGTGGTCCATCACATTTCATTCAGAGCCTTCAGAACGAACTTCTGGGAGGGCGCAATGATTTCAAGACCAAATGCTCCTGATAATGATCGTCCTATAACTTTTACATGCGATACACTGCAGTTGCAACAAATAAAGCACATTAAACTAAGAAACAAAATACATAATTGGACAATATTCACACAAGAAGGTAATTGATATTCTCTAAGACAAGTTATTTCTTTCTTTATTATTGTATGAACCAAGTTACTGTAGTTGTCATGTACCTTGTAATGAAAAAAAATGAAGGCCAATAATAAGACATTTCTGTAAAGGATAAATTCTCATTGCATTTCAAACGTTGATTCCTGACTCTTTCCTAGATTTCATTTTTTATTGAAAAAATCAGACTTCTTCCCCCTTCTTCAAATTAACAAAGAAAGGCAGTGAGATCCACTGTACTGATTGGCTGACAAAGTCTACCCTTCATGCCACCTCGAAGTCTATCCATACAGTCAACCAGACATGGCCACAACATTGTCAACAAATATTATTTTTCTAAATGTAATCTTTAGAACCCAACTTCTGGGTTTAAACCCAAATTACCTCCTTAGAAGTTAATTACAGGATTATGTATCATCCACAGCCTAAAGGTCATAACAAGGGGATCAGTGTGAATAATATTTCAATTCTCAACCTATTTTCCCAGAACAAAGGAAAAAAGATCAAGCAATAAATTACATGTGGAGGTATTCGTAATTACTGATCATATAACAGTTGTATGAAGAAAAATATTATTCATCGTTCTATCCATTCACCAATATAGGAAGTTCCATGAGCATCAATTTAAATGGCAATCCATAAGAACATACTGATATCAAGAAAAGTAGAATAAGGTGATTGGCAAAAAAGTGAAGAGAAAGGTGCTAACCATATGTAGAACAAGCAATCTATTTCCTGTCTCTGGAACCTGCCCAGCAACTCAATCTGCAAATATCTGCCAATACAAAGAACAGGTTCTGGAAGCTCGAACTTCTGCAGGCAATTTTCCTGTTCACAAAAATCATTTTGGGGGTCAAATCTCAGGAGGTCTACACTATCTTTAGGGGTGGAAAAACCTTCTAATAGATTCTCAAGCAAAACAATTAAGAAGATTGAAGATTGCAAATCATATGAAGTGTAGTAAAAAGCATACAGGAGTTGTTTGTTCACAAATTTGAGTTTATAATCAGGAAAAGTTTTAGGAAATAGCCTTGAGGATCTTTAGGTGAATCACAAGCCCAAACAAGTTTTTCAACGTAGTGTAATTAAGCAAACAATAAGGTCATCAATTTAGTCGGAATAGCCCATAATCATTCACTTCTCAGTCCAGAATTGCTGTCCACAAGAGTTAAATTGGTTAAATCTATCTCCAATAACACCAGTCAAATCTCTATAAAAAATAATAAAAACAAAAATACCAATCAGAAAGGCAGTGGAACTCACATGAGTCATCGGAAACTCTGGTGAAGTGTAAGTCCATACCAACTTCTCATCAAATGAGCTCTGGCCTGACTCATTGATGGAATCATTCACAGTAGACTTAGAGTGACCCATCCGAAATCGGACAAATTTTGCCGAATAGATTGGCAAACCTTCCTGAAAGAATGCTGGCCAAAACATTTATTTTTAACAAAATAGAACTAATAGAATAAGAGAAATAAAGGAGAATTCAACAACGAAAATTCAATATTAACCTTGGAAAGGCTTTATGTTGATTTCGGTAATGACACACAAATCAGAAACCAATTTATACAGTAGTGTCTCAGGCACTGCAGGATTACTTTGCCCTTTACTGGACCAGTAAGAAGCACGATCACCAATTATATCTCTTGGTTCCAGAGTATGATGGATTCTTTCCTCTGGATAATTATCTGTGCTAGAAGCAACTATTGCCTCTGAAATGCACTCTCTGAGAGGAAATGATGCACATCCTTGAGCTAAAAAGGCATATACTCTATGCTCTGTCTCCAAAGTTTCCCATTCCATATAATTGCTGGATCCAGCTTCAGTGGACCTTTTAATACTATCGCTAGATTCAGTGACATGGTCAACTCTAGACAATTGGGGAAACATGCTCAAGCACAGATGCTTACTGAGTCCATTTGCAATCACTGTAAAACATATGTAACCCCGTCAATATCTTTCAACAACAAGCAAATGTTTTCGCCGTATGAAGGACAATTCACTTGTGTCATTAAATATTGATGAACCATGTTACAGATAATGAGTGCAAGTAGCAAATAATAACGGGAAATTAACAGGTAGATAAACTAAGATGTCTGAGGTAGCAAAAAGACAATCTTCCTAGAAGGGAGGGGTGAGAGGAGATGACTAGGGCAAATTAATTTCTCCCAAAAAAGGAGGAAATAACAATATTTTCAAACAATTTTTAGAATATCCCAAGATCATATATGGGAGTTCCCATCAACCAAATGCACTCATGCTTAGAGCAAGGAAACAAACTATTGCGAGGAGAAAAAAGTTTTTTTCTTTTTTTTTTTTTTTAAAGTGAAAGTTCATCACGGTAAATTGGATTTATATCAGATAAGCCAATAGCAGCAGCCCTGCAGCGGGGGAAATTGACTGAAATTAGTTGAAAAGGGCATCAATTAAATGGGCACTCTGCTGGAAACTCTCCTAAACCTCCTATGTCAAATTTTTCACTAAAGATATGAAGCTTCACTAGGGAAAAAAATCCAGGTTATATGTAACTTGCAATATAGAGGAACCATGAAGTGTTGCATCAGATACATAGAAACTCAATAAAAAACAGTACCAAGCTCTGGGTGGTTTCAACAATTCCATCAAGAATAAATTCTAAATGCTTAAAAATGTCAAGTGCGTGATCCTTTAACCATAGGCCAATAGACAAAAACATAATTGGAGTTCCCTGGAAAGTTGTCCAGACCATATATCAAAACACAAACACTAATCAGCTCACCAAAATGTCGCCACGAACGAGAGACAGAACTGGCACGGACAATATCAGATGGATCTTCCAAACACATTAGAATCTTTAACGACATGTCATACTCAAGGGTATTCACAAAATCCACACCGGATTCCATCTTAAGCATAGGAAAGGAAACCTAGCAGTCCTTGGAACCTCCACGCCTACTGAAACAAAAAAATTCCCGGTAAACTACATGATATTAGATCCAAATGCATATAACACCCAATAAACAAAGAACATTAACAAATCAAACAATAACTCAGGCTACTAAGGACCTACAAAAGAGGCATCCTCCACTCCCATGACAAGAAACCTCAATTTGTTCCAATACACTTCACTTTTACTCTCCAGAACAAAATAACGATCGAATGGATAAGACATGCAAGGCTCCTCAATCAAAACTTTCTATCTCTAATATAAGAATCATGATCATGGTAGTACTTAAAAATTACCTGTAAATTTCCACTACTCATTAACATTCTCCAAGGGGAAAAATCTAATGAGACAATTCCAAATGAAGAAAAGGGCACATGGAAATTCCATTAATAAATGAAAAAAATTCATAAAGAATCTCTATATATCACCAGAAATATATCATACAAATTCTCCATGGTTCAGAATTACGACAAAAAAAAAGATCTCTCCATTTGAAGAAATTGACCAGAAACATCGAAAGAATGAGACCCAGAAAATTTGGGGAATATAAAATGAACAGGAAAAATCTCACAAATAGAGTGGATAGGGAAAAGATGAACAACAACAAACAAAATGCAGAAAAAGTAGAAACTTTTCACCTTTCCTGGCAAATGAAAGTGAAAAAACTAAATATCTCGCAGAAACACAAGCGCCGAACAGAAACTTGTTGAGAGGAAGTGCCGATTTTTAGAGAGTCGTGGATGAAATCGCAGAAGACGAAGAGAAAGGGGGCCTAAAAGGTGAACTGAGAAAATGAAATTTGCCGGGTTCAGAAATACGAAAATATAATATAAATAAAAATATTTTTTTAATAGATAAAAATATTTGATCTTATTTTGTAATTAATTAAAAATCCTTTTTCAAACAAATCTAATTTTTCTAAAAAAATTCGATCAAAAAATCTAAAAATTTAAAAATAATTAAAAAATTACAAGAAAAAATTTTGATTTCCTATCTAAAACCCAACAAAAATTTCATACAAAATAAATTGATTATTACTAGGACTCAAAAATTTATGAGATTAAAATTTTAAACTTAAAAAAATGCAATGAAAAATTGGATAGCCTACATAAATCCTCAATAAAATCTCTTCAATATTGTAGTATAGAAAAATTTTACACAATAAACATATTATTATTAGCACTTGATTTTAAATACAAACAAAAAATTGAAAGAAAAGAAATTTGATGGCCTACCAAAACCCACACAAAAAATTTATTTAATAATGATATTTTACAATAAGCACTTTATTAGGGCTCAAATTTCTATTAAAGTTAGTACATTAAAAGAAATATAAAAGTTAGAAATATTTAAGGATAGTAAAAAAGTATTTAGATAAATTAAAAAATAAAATAATTATCAACCATCGATAACCATAATTATTGTCAAAAATGATATTTGACTACTATACATGGTAATCTGTAATTATTTATCAAGAAATTACATCAGTTACATAGGTAACTACCTATATGGGTAATTATCTAAGTTGTACAAAACTCATATTAATATAATTTTGTGATTTTTCTTTTCACATTACAAAACTTATTTAAAATTTTTAATTTTAATATTTAAATATTCTTAATTACTAGATTGACCATCAATATAATTTTTCTCGAAAACACATGAAATTACTTGTTTATTATGAAATATAAGATCTAATTCCTACACCTAATGATAAGTTATTATTTATAATAAAAAAAAACTATACTGATTACATGTAACTACCTATTTTTTATAAATATCAACCATAATTTGTGGTTATTCTTCATGATCTATATTTATTTTAATATTCAAATACTTTAAAAACTCTAATTAATTATTTATATAATTTTTTTAATAAGATATATGAAGTTACTTGTTTACTATTAACTTTTAAAAAATAGAGAACGATCAAAATAAAACATGAATATTGGTTGATTACCCAATGCCAACATATATCAACTGTCATTTTCTATAGATTGACCATCAATCACAATCCACCGACCGTAAGTCTTCTATATACATATTCTAAACATTATCATATAAACTTCTAAAAAAAAAATTATTAACATTATTTTGATGATGTAACTAAGAATCTAGTTATGGACAATTTGGCCATAAAACTTCAATGCCATAATGGTTAAAAATTCCTTAACTTGGGGCTATGTTAGTATACCAAAAGTTATGTAATATCTTCTCCTCTCCTTTACATTAGCATAGTGTGTCATTGTTTTTTTTTCCTTATTAGGCAAAAAACATATATAAAATATTAGAAAGATTTACTAATAATAGAAAATTATTTATCATTATAAACAATTGAAAAATAAAATAATTATCAACGATTAATAATCACAATTACTATAAAAAAATGACATTTGACTAATGCATATGATAATGTATAATTATTTGTTAAAAAGTTACATCATTTACATGGATAATTTGTGGTTCCTTTTTTCTAATTACAAAACTTATTCAAAATTATTATTTTTTATTTTAATATTTAAATATTTTTTTACTACTCGATTGACCATCACTATGACTTCTTTAAAAACCACATGAGATTACTTGTTTAGTATTAACTAAGAGATCTAATTCTTATATCTAACGACAAGTTATTATTCATTCAAAAATTATACCAATTACACGAAACTAGCTATACTTTATAAATGTCAACCATAATTTATGGTTCCTCTTCATGATATATATTTGTTTTAATAATTAAATATTCTCGAATACTTAATTGACTATTAAATAATATTTAATGAAGAATTATGTGATTATAAGATTGCTGGGCAGAGCCATC